ACTGGGCTGCACTGGGAGGCAGGATTCCCGCCTAAGTTAGGCTGTGATTACTGTTTGGGCTGGAAGACTGGGATCAGTCAGTCACTCTCCACCTGCCTTCACTGGGCCTCTTCTACTGCCCTGCTCTCAGGGCATCGTCCTCCTGTGCCGTTCTCCCATCTTCATCTGAGAGCTCCGGCTCTGCTGGGTATTGCTCACCCCAAATATTCACCAGTCATGAGGTAGGCACCCAAGAATCATGAAATTGGCTTAAAGTCATGAGATTTTTTTTTTTTTAAATGTTGGGTTTGTTTTATTGGCCTTCTTGGTTTTGAGCCTTGTGGGGGGGTGTGTGTGTGTGTATGTGCACTTCTGCCATGTTTTCAAGCTATTCTCCACAACCTTGAGAGCTAGAAACTTACTAGTTTTTTTTTTTTAAATTGAGATTGTCATCTAATCTTCTGCCGGCAGGAGCTGGGAGTATAACTTGAATATCACAAAACTCACAATATAATTGCAAGAGTTGGCAATTCCAAAGTCACTGACCACTGTCTTTCTATTCCCCAAGAAATCATCAGAGAAAGAGACTCATTAACCCATCCTCTTCTTTTCTCAGGCACCTAAACAAAACACTGCTTCTTGGTTCATGGGAATTGTCTGGAAAGATCTCACTGCAGCCGTGGCCCAGCCATGGCTTCCTCTGCTAGGTGACTATGGACAGGTCTGAGGCTGAATCTCACTTTAGCTCTAAACAGTGGGGAATTCTCTGCATACCTCTGACACTCTGTAAAATTTTTCAAAAACTTGGATTCAAACAATCTGCAAATATACTGGTATCTAATCTATCTACCTATATGCACACACCTCTCTCTCTAAATTCCGTTGGGAGAAATGTTATAATAGATTTCCATTTGTCCTTTCCTGTGCTTTCCACACATCACCAAGCCTTGGATTTTCAAAAGAGCCTGAGGGAGTTAAATGCTTAGCTTTCACTGACTTTCAATGGGAGGTAGGCCCTAGCTAAATCCAGCAGCATAATCATCCCACAGAGAGGCCGAGGCTAATTCGGGCTAGGCAGGCTGATTTCATCAGGACTGGCGTTTGTGCCATCTATGTTGCAAACCCAGCGGCAGCTCCCCAATCTCAGCTGATGGAAATGTTCTTCAGAAGTAGCATCAGGGGAGACACAACCTTCTCCTGCAGAGGATACAAATACGAGGAGGCGAGTGCGCTCTGTCAATAGAGAGAGGAGAACATGCTCCAAGGGAGATCTCGGCACCTGCTTATCTCTTCGGAGGGAGAGAACCCTATTTCTGGAGGGAAGTGAGAGAAGAACCTGATTCCTGGTCACCAACCCTGAGAGATCCAAGCTCATCAACTGTAGCCTGAATATCCTATGGTCTCAGGTAAGCATTATCCCTCATGCTGCTGCCATGCACTGAGACAGAACCTCTCTGTCAGGGGGTGTATGGACCTGCTGCTGTCTCAGCCATTAAAGGGTTAATAGGAAACAGAACCTGCCTGCTCAGCTGGGGCTGATTGGTGGCTTCACAAGAGCTGCAGAGATAAAAGGGCTGCAGAGCAGAAGGAGGGGCTGGCTGCTAGAGACTGAGGCACTGCAGAGAGAAGACCCCTTCAGCCACAGACTGGCAAGGAGCTGCCCTGGAAGTCAGACTTTCCGAGGAGGAGACCCAGAATGTGAGTCTGGGAAAACCTACAGAAGAGTCCAGGTAGGAAGGAGCAAGGGGATGAGGGCAACTGGCTCCAGCTGCTTCACACAGGGTCCCTGGGCTGGAGACAGGGTCACTGGGCCAGAAGAGTAGGCGAGCTCCCTGCAGACCAAGACACGGCAATGAAAGCGGCACCAGATCAGACCCTACCAGAACAGATGCAAAACCTGCAGACATGTCTCCACAGCTACAATGACCAACACCCCCCGCCACACACCTTTTGAGATCCAAGGGTTCTACACACGTCTATCCCAACGTGTGGTGCACCTCATCCAGTGCACTGAATGACCATCAACAATGGTATGGGTGAAACCAGACCATCACTACGCTCTCGGATGAACTCACAGAAAAAAAGTGATAAAAGACAAAAAACATCCTGTCCTCTGTGAGTGAGCACTTTTCACAAAGCAATCATTTTATATCTGACATATCAGTCCTTGTCCTCAAAGGCAACCTGCACAGCACTCTCAAAAGATGAGCCTGGGAGCTTAAATTCGTAACTTTGCTAGAAATTAAATATCATGGACTGAACAGAGACACTGGATTTGTGGTCGATTACCACAATCTATAACCCACTTAATACCTCTCCAGTCATGGGGGAGGGAAGCTGGGGGTGGGTTAACAGGCCACTTCACCTTGAATGATCCCTTGAAATGTGTTAACTACTTATGCTAAACAATCTGCTCCACCTTGTATTTAGCTGTGACACTTTGGTTATGTCATATTACAGTTAAATACCTGCAGCTGGCTTGGGCTCACTGGGCTTGGCTACCGAGCTGTCAAATTGCAGTGTAGACATACCTCTGAGCACCTTTCCCCGACCGGAAGAAGAGCTCTGGGTAAGCTTGAAATCTTATTTCTTTCACCAACAGGTTAGTCCGGTCAAAGATATCACCTCACCCACCTTGTCTCTATATCCTGGGACCAACACCGCATATGTGAGAAATGTTGACATTTGAAAGTTGTTTCCATTAATCAAAGTAGTTTGCATTTTTTCAAACTTTTGGTGATGGTTTTCAAACCACTGGGTGCAATAAAATAAATAGTGTCATTTACACACACACGCACTTTTCCACTTTTTATTCCTTTTCCATTTTGCCACTCAGTGACTTTCCAAAACTTCCTCAAAGTTTGAAAAATCGCAAAGGTGGTAAAGTAACAGACTTTATTTTTTCCTCTTCCCTCTCTAACTTTTTCAAAGTTGCCGAAGTTCAGAGTGGCAACAGGAAAAAGGAAATGTGAAAGAAAAACAAAACCCTTAGACATGATAGTTGGCACATTTTCAGAATCATGTGATTTTTATATCCCTTCTAAGTGAATGACTTCGCTACTGTGGATATTAATGGAGATTTTACATTCAGGTTTCAGAATGTCACTAAGCAGTTTGAATCAATATCTATTGGCAGAGAAATCCAAAAGTTAGTGATGATCACATAGCAACATAAAAACTGATTCGCATTCACAAATGAAATCAAACAAATGTCTGCATAGAAAGGCTTTGGAGGTGAGGTTTTGGACTGGTAAAACCACCGTCATGAAGCATTGGGTTCTGCTGGGGAAGAGGGAAACTTTTGAAGGGAATCCAGTCTGCACACCTCCATTTGCCAGACTCTTCCTGGGGAGCCAGCATACCCATTACAAGCCACTAGTGATGGCTCCTTGGAGCAGTTTCTGGGGAGCAAGGCTAAATCTGTTCTTAACCAGATGCGTGAGCCTCAGATTTGTGTATAGATCGTGCCTTAGCAGCACAAACCTGTGTCAGTTTTGCTCACTCACTTTCCAATGTCATTGATAGAGCTGGGCAAATCACGGGTTTTTCAGTTCACTGGAAATTTAAAAAAATACTATATATCAATATTGCTTCTGGTCAAACCAAAAATCCAGTGAATTGAAAAGTAAAAAAAAATGTTGAGCTGAAACAAATCAAAATGTTCTGATGTTGCCGAAACGGAAAACTTGACTGGAAATGTTTCTGTGATGTTGAAACAAAAGGAAACATTTAATTTTGTCCCATAAAAAATTGTTTTGAGTTTCAGGAATTTTGACAAGAGCAAAGAAAAGGATTCACAAACCAGCTGGAGGAGAAGGGTAAAGTTGCTACTTTATGAGCTTTAGTCTAGTGGCTAAGGCACTCAGCTAGAGTGTGGGTAGACCCAGGTTTTATTCCCACTGTGGCAACACAAGAAGAGATTTGAATAGGGATCTCTAACATTGCAGGCAAATGGCCTAGGCATTGAGCTAAGGGGTGTTCTCAGTCTCTCCTCTTGGAGCTGTTCCACTAAATAATTGTCATTGGGGGCAGGGACTTGAGTCTCACCCACACCCCAGTGACAACCCTAGCCACTGGGCTACACAGTCACTTTCACAGGCTGTCCCCAGCCCAAATGACTATTCATAGTCTTTCATAATGACAATGAATAGTAATGTGGTGGGAGAAGGAGAGTAAGGGTTGATTTACACTACAAGTTAGGTCAGTTTAACTACATTGCTTAGGGCTGTGAAAAATGTCATGCCCTGTCTGTTGTAGCTAATCCAGCCTAAACCTTGCTATAGACACTGCTAGGTCACCAGAAGACTTCTGCAGTCAACCTGGCTACCACCTCTTGGAGAGGTGGATTTTACTACAGCGACAAAAGAACCCCTTCCGTCGCTGTAGTAAGTGTCTACATGACAGCAGTGCAGTACAGCAGAGCATTTCTAGTGCAGCTGTAGCCTTAGAATGATTCTGCAACCTGGTAGTTCAGCATCAACCTCCATTGTATGAACGCCACTGCCCCAGTTTGTGTTCTCAAGCCAGTATCTGGGTTGGTGGCCAGAAGGCGACTGGGGCATTTGAATATAAATGCTTTTAAACTGATAGTTATTAAAGTTTAACAAATGCTGTAGTCTTGTTATATTGGACAGTTTGTTTATCTCTCCCAGATACAATCCATGGCAGACACAGAAGGGGGAAATCAAACATCCATCACAGAATTCATCCTCATGGGATTTGGGAATCTCCCTGAGCTGCAGATCCTTCTCTTCCTGCTGTTTCTAGCAATCTGCATAGTGACCATGGCCGGGAACATCTTCATTGTTGCGCTAGTTGTGGCTGATCAGCACCTTCACACCCCCATGTACTTCTTCCTGGCGAACTTGTCTTGCTTGGAGACCTGCTACACTTCCACCATCCTGCCCAGGATGCTGGCCAGTCTCCTGACTGGGGACAGAACCATTTCTGTCAGGGGATGTATGACACAATTTTATTTTGTTAGTTTCTTTGGGGCTACAGAATGTTCTCTCTTAGCTGCAATGTCTTATGATCGGTATTTAGCAATATGCAAACCACTGCATTATGCAGTCCTTATGAATGGCAGCTTATGCCTTCAGCTAGCAGCTGGGTCTTGGATAAGTGGGCTTCTGGCTGGTACCACACCAATGTCCTTCATGTCACAGTTATCTTTCTGTGGCCCCAATAAAATTGAACATTTCTTCTGTGAATCTACAAAAATAATAACTCTCTGCTGCAGTGACACCTACCAGCTAGAGCTGGTAACCACCATCTTGGCTGCTTTATTCACCCTGCCCCCATTTGCATTAACCCTGGCATCCTACGTTTGTATCATCTCCACCATCCTGAGAATCCCTTCCACCACTGGAAGGCAAAAGGTCTTTTCCACCTGCTCCTCTCACCTTATTGTGGTGACAATCTTCTATGGGACCCTAATCATTGTGTATCTGCTACCAAAAACCAACACACTGAGAGACCTCAACAAAGTGTTCTCTGTTTGCTACACAATTTTGACTCCTATGGTCAATCCCTTCATATACAGCCTGAGAAACAGAGAGGTCAAGGAAGCCCTGAGAAAAATTGTCAGTAAGTGTCTAGATCAGTGGTTCTCAACGTTTTTGGACTCGGGACCCATTTGTGTTTATGGCCTGTTGCGACCCAGTAAATAGTCTGGGGGTGGAGGCCCTGGGTTGGTTTTGGTTGGGTCCTGCCCCCCCGGGGGGGTTGGGTCCTGCCCGGCACTCACCCCACAGTGGCGGCTTCTGCAGCTCCTGTGCTGTGGGGCTGGCTGGGCTTGGCTCTTGGCTCTGGGCTTGCAACCTCTGGGATTGCAGTGCTACTCAGGTTTGGCCCCGCCCCACTGACTGGACCAAATTTGTGTGAGTGAAGGTCTGGCCTGGCTCATGGGGTTGCAGTGCCACTCACTCAGATTTGGTCTACCCGGACTCCCGCCATCATGATGGCTGGGCCAAACCTGAGTGGTGCTGGGACCCCAGAGCAGAGCTGATGCTAGGCATAAGCAGACTAAGCAATTGCTTAGGGCTCCAAGCAGCTCAAGGTCCCCCCTATTACTTATTAGTATGTGTGGTGTGCGTGGGGGTCCCCCAAAATATTCTTGCTTAGGGCCCCAGATGGGCTAGCACCACCTCTGCCCCAGAGCTTGCAGTGCCTGGAGCAGGGAGATGAGCCCAGCCAGCCCTGTGGGACAGGAGCTGCTACGTGACCCTTTGAAACATTCTGGTGACCCAATTTTGGGTCCCGACCCACAGGTTGAGAAACCCTGGTCTAGATTGTATGAGAATTCAGAAATCTCAAAATGGTGACAAGCGCAGCTGCTTTGCTGTTTGATACTCAGATGCTGTGTAGCCCTTACTTCTCGCTCAGACTTTGGTGACATGCGCTTGTAACAGTTGCATTTGTGCAAAAATTTAAAAATGTAAGAGGAGTCAGGACCAGGATCGTTATAATCAGAATAAAACTGGCCTGGCTTTTACCTGCTGAATTTGGGTAGATGATATTTTGGTGAATTGTGTACACTAAAAGTTGGAATATAAAATAAAACAACTTAGGGCAAGATCCACAAAGGGAACATAGGTATCTCAACGACTAACTTCTAGTGCCTTGCTAGCCAATGGGAACCTCAGCCCTGAGTTTGGCACCCAGGCTTCCTACATGATGCATGGGGAGAGTTAGGTGGTGAAGAACTGGGTCCACAGAAACCAGAATGCTGAGCGAGGAGCTGCCTAAACTAGCCAATAGGAAAGGCCAAAGAAAGGGGTGTTGCTTCAAACTCCCTTCCTCACCTCGTTAGGCACTTATCTCTGCTTGGGATTTTCATCTCTGAACCTCAAGGTAGGGGAAGGTGTGTGTGTGTGTGTGTGTAGGGAGGGTATTCATCCAGGGTGTTGGAGACTCAGGTTCAATCTCCCCTGCCTGATGTGGAGCAGGGTTTTGACCTTGGGTTTCCTTGGGTCAAGTGAGTATCCAAGATCCAGGACTGCAGAGTCACCCTCTCTGGCCCAGTGCGTGTTTAATTATTTTTACACAGCACAGCAGCTTCACCAGAAGATTTTGAGGGGTCCCCACATCTGAGTGTCCAATAGGCCAGTGGTTCAGGTACTCAGCTGAAAAGTAGGAAACCCAAGTTCGAATGCCTACCCAAGATTAAGCCAGCAGGCAAACTGAACCTGTGTCTCTCACATCCTGGATGAGCAGCCTAACCACCAGGCTCAAGGTTATAACGGAGGCCCCACGCCCAGCCCTTTTATGTAGGGCTAGGTGTACTGTGAGCATGCCTACAAGACTGAGCCCGGCAGCTGAGACAGACAGGGAAATACCTGGTTTAAGGTTCCTGTTGGGGTGAGACGGGTGCCCGGGTGCCCAGAGGGAGGCAGCTTTGCATATGTTCACTGGCACATACTTGGACAAATTTGACCCAAATTTCTGAAGAGTTTCAGTGCCCTGAAAAGTGCATTTTGGGGGCAAATTTACCATTCACTGAAAAAAAGGCTCCATGCTCTAATCATGGGCCAGGAGTGACTATCAGTCTGGATGCTGGGGGAGAAGGACTGCATGGAAGGCTTGCTCCCCACTCTCCTAGATTGCATTGGATACAGCCTAAATGAGGGTGTGGCTATGGGGTGGGATATTTGTGGGACTGAACCTGGGAACCATGGGAGAGGACAAGACCCTAGGGTTGAGGAGTGCTCAGAATGGGAAGGAGTATTCCCTTTAGCTGAATGCCCCTCGTCCCAGATCCTCTATAGCGCAGGCCCCTGGTTTCCATGTGGTGCCAAGAAAGGAGGAGCTGGGGATAGTTTCTGCAGGGAGAATTCCCAGCATTTGTCTCTTCTGAAGCATCAGGAGGGTGTCTAATAAGGGCTTATCGACACACAAATGTTGCACCTCTCTAGCTGTCCCTGTGTAGTTAAGGCAGTTGTGCTCCTACAGTGGGTGTGTGGCTCTGACCGTATAAAGATGTTTTATATGGTGTAAGAGGACGGTCTGTCCCAGGGAAGCCCCCAGCCCTATTCTGGAGAGGAGCATGGCGAGCAGGTGCCGGGAATCATCCAACCCAGCTGGGCACCATCAACTAATTGGGATTCCCAGCTGGGGCATATAGATAAGCTCCCCAGCTCCATGAGGGAGCCTGGGACCAGTAGAGGGCTGGGGGAACACTTCTCTAATTGCAAGGGGGGCAGAGGCCCTGCAGAGCCCCCCTTGGCTGGAGGCCCTGCCCACTAAGATGTCAGGGGCCCCCACAATCCAGGTGGAGAACTGAACTGTTACTTTACTTCACTCAACGTTTCCTCTTCTTGTGCTGGACAATGAACAGGGCCACAGCCCCGGGCTGTGACGGAGTCCGTCAGCCTATGTACACTGGTGGAGCGATTCCTCCACGGGAAGGGGAATGAGGCTGGTCTACACCGAACACTTATGTCGACCTAGCTACGTTGTGACGGGTATGAAAAATTCACACCCCCAAGACATAGTTAAGCTGTCCTGAACCCCTGCGTAGACACTGCCGGTTGACAGAAGAATTACCACCTCTCAAGGGCTGGTTTTACTACAGCAACAGAAAAAAAAAACCTTCCGTCGCTGTAACTAGTGTCTGCACTTCAGCCGCCTGGCTGCAGCGCTAGTAGAGTAGACGTAGCTGGAGTTATACTGGTAGAAGGAACCTTAGCACTGGTATAACTGCATCCAACTGTGCCGGTATAGCTATATTAGTAAAAAAAAAACCTCACATCCTACCTCAGACATGGCTTTTACCAGCCAAAAAAGTGCTTTTGCTTGTACAGCTGATACAGATGGGTTCCCTGAATGAAATAAGCTATATTAATAAGAGCACATTTTTTGTTGGTATACCCAGGTCTGCACTAGGGATTTTGCTGGGGTAAAAGTGTCATAAAAAAAAACCTAACCAACATTACTATACTGGAAATTTCTGTGTAAATCTGGCCAGAGATACAACTGTATTATAAAGTGGCTACTGGGTAGCAGCAGATGGTAATGAAAGGCGAAAAGGCCATTTTACTCTGGGAACACCCCTAGATGACAGGAGATAAGGAAGAGGGAACAGGGTGTTATACTGTTTAATGACTGCTAGGTGAGAGTGGAAGATAAGGATGGTGAAAAGGGACAGCTGTACATTGCCATTGGGTGGCAGCAGAGAATAAGGGTATCTCTGCTGTGTTATTGGCAGGAGCTGACTGTAAGGTAAGAGAAAAGGACACCTATAGAAACGTGTTCCCTGGATAGGAACAGAGTAAGGAAGCACCAGTGGTGCTGTGGCTACTAGATAGCCATGCAACACAAATGATAAAGACAATACATTATGCACTAGATGGCAGCACAGGGTAAGGGATACATGTGGGGGTCTATTGTGGAAAATAGATAGTGAGCAAGAAGTAAGAAATCATCAGTGAGACCTTGGAAGATTCTGTAGAGGGTAAAAAAGAGGAAAGAATCAACTATACTTAGGCTTGGAAGAATTAGATTTTTATTGGTAAATGTTGATTTTATCAAACACACAAATTGATGAAAAAAATGTTTCCTTGATGCTCATTGAAATTTACAGATCAGCAAACAAAGAAAAATGCTGCTTGAGAGCTTAGTTTGATTTAAGGATATTTACTTTGTATATTTTGACATGTGATGTCAACGATTTGTGTTTTAACAGCTATAAAGCTTTAACTTTCTGAATCTCAGCATCTACTGTAATTAACTAATTATTGACTGACCCACCCACTGTCTGATCCTCCATAATTTTCTGCAACTGAAAATTTAAATCCATAAAAATAAAATGCTTAAAAATAAACAAACATCAATATTATCCATTGAAACTATAACAAATACCAGCAATAACTTTCCTAGGCCTATCCAATGGATATTTGTATGATAAAAAGTAAGTCCTGATGTTCAGCGTCAGTGTCTTCAAGAAGGGAAATGAATTGCCGATGATTAAGTCCCCTCGCTCTTATGTAGTTCACTATTTTCACTACTGTGCGAACAACATGATCAATGTTGCAGAGGGCCTCCTGATGTATAATACAATGCAGAAAAATCACCTCTTTATCAGGATCATCTTCTTTTACTTTGTCCTGAATTCTTTTTAAAAGTCCTACGTTTTCCTCTGTTACATTTGGTGATCCATCTGTGGTTACGCTTGCCAGTTTACTCCAGGGGAGCTTCAGATGTTCAAGGCACCCAGACACCCTCTCGTATAAATCCGATCCCTTAGTTGTGCCTTTCATTGATTCTATTGATAAAAAATCCTCTGTGATTTCAAATTTGTCATCAATTACTCTGACAAAAATCAGTAACTGTGCTGTGTCCTTAATGTCAGTGCTGTCATTGAGAGCTAATGAAAACAATGTAAAGCCCTGTGCTTTCTTGTTCAACTCAGAAGCCAAATGTTCATCAATCACTTCTACACGGTGAGTAACAGTTCTTCATGACAAACTAATGTTCTCAAATTTATTTTGGTATTCCGGGCACAGCATGCCAGAAACATGAACCATACATTCTTTCAAAAACTCCTCTTCAGCAAAAGGCTTATTTTGTTTAGCAATTTTAAACTCCAG